TATTTCAATATTTGAATTATTTGAAAATTTTGATTATTTCCATTATTTGAATTATTTCAAAAATTTTAATAATTTCTATATTTGAATTATTTCCATATTTCAATTATTTCAATAATTGGATTATTTTAATTTTCTCAATAATTGAATTATTTTAATTTTTTCAATAATTAAATTATTTTAATTTTTTCAATAATTGAATTATTTTAATTATATCAATAATTTAATTATTTTAATATTTTACTTATATTTCAATATTTGAATTATTTTAAAATTTAAAGAATTTAACTTATTTTGTGGGGAAAAAAGTTTTACCTGGAACAGCGATAAGTTTCTTTATAATAGCGAAAGTTTTAGCTGAATCAACTAAACATTTCGCTAATTTAGTGAAATTTTACTTTTGATTTAGTAAATTTTACTGATAAATAGTAATTCCTACTAATATATTAGTAAATTTTTGCAATTTAGTAGAAAATACTATTTTAGAAACCAATTAGTAGAAATTACTAGTTCACTAACAAATTAGTGAAAATTACTATTTTAATAATAAATTAGTAGAAATTACTATTTTATTCAGAAGTCAGTAGAAATGATCTATTTGTTAGTAAAATTTACTAATTCAAAGGCAAAATTTTACTAATAATAGCAGAAATTATTATTTATTAGTAAAATATTTAATAATTTAAAAGCAAAAATTTACTAATAAATTAGTAGAAATTACTATTTATTAGTAAATTAGTAGTATATTTTACTAATAAATAATAATTTCTACTTACTTGTTAGTAATATAGTAATTTCGACTATTATTAGTAAAATTTTGCTGTTAAATTAGTAAATTTTACTAATAAATAGTCCTTTCCACTAATTTGTTACTAAAATAGTTATGTTTACTAATATGTTACTAAAATAGTCATTTCTAATAATTTATCAGTAAATTTTTGCTTTTAAGTTAGTACATTTTACTGTTAAATAGTAATTTCTATTATTTTATTAGTAAATTTTTGCAATTTAGTAGAAATTACTATTTGTTAGTGAAATTGACTAAAATTTTGCTTATAACAGTAGAAATCATTATTCATTAGTAAAATTTACTAATTTGAATGCAAAAATTTACTAATTTAATAGAAATTACTATTTATTAGTAAATTAGTAGTAAATTATTACTTTTAAATTGGTAAATTTTAGTAATAAATAATTTCTACTTATTTGTTAATAAAATAGTGATTTCGACTATTATTACTAAATTTTTGCTTTCGAATTAGTAAATTTTACTAATAAATAGTAACTTCTGGTATTTTTTTAGCAAAATAGTAATTTCGACTAATTTGTTAGTAAAATAGTAATTTCCACTAATTTATCAGCTTTTGCTTTATAATTTGCCTTTGAATCAGTAAATTAGATTGATAATCAGTAATTCCTACTAATTGATTAGTAAAATTTACTAATTCAATAGCAAAACTTGACTCAGCAATTTTATTTCTTCTAGTAATTGAAATTTAGAGAGAAGCACGAAGAGAGGAATGAAAAAGCAGTGATTATTAGTATTATTATTTATAATTAGTATTATTCACAATTATTATTATTAGCTTGATATTTAAAATTAGCATTATTCAAAATGAAACTAAAATGAGAGGAAACAGAAAGGGGTGAGATTTTTCTCGGAGAAACTATATAAGAGCGAAGCTGGTTTTTGGGTGTTGTATCTTGTTTGATAAGTTCCCCCGCTTTTCACTCTCTCTCTCTTTTTTCTCCCCTCCGTGGCAGCCGGGGAATCGACCTAACCTTTCACCAACCCTCGCGCCAGAGTCTCATCTCGCAGAAAGCGTTTTTCGGTAAACGTAACCTTTTCTCGTGCGTTGTGCAGTTTTTAAGATGGTTACTCGCTGCGTGAATGTCACTTTTCGCTGGAAGGAATGTCAGTAGGAGTACGTATTGAAAATGTGCATATAATATGGTGCTGAAGGGGTGACGTGCACGCACGTGAGCGCGGATTTCAGTCAGGTGCTGCAAGGTAAATCTGAAGCAAGTAGAGTGAGATTAAACGGCGAGGCGTGCGTGAACAATATACTCGCCCCGGACGACGACGTCTTACCACTTCCGACTTTATCTCCTTTGTCCAACGTTCTCTTGATCCTGCTGCTTGCAGAATGCATTCATATCCCAATTTACATTCTACTCTTTTTTTTATTTTTGTTTTTTTATTCATTGCACAAAATTTTAATTTCGACTCTAAATTAAAATTAATTTAATTTTAAATTAACTTTCGTCCTGCGAAGCGACAACGAATTTTTAATAATAATTAATAATCAATTAGCAACAATTGGCGCTTTTACGCGCGCGGCTAACTTTTGCGCTCTTTTTTTAAATAAAATTAGCAATTTTAAGAATAATAGAAAGTAAAAATTTTTAATTCAAATTTTTTCATAAAAATAAAATATGAATATATAGTTTTAATTGTATTTTTAAAAAGTTCAAAAATGATTGCAGAAATTCAATTATTTTCAAAAGTAATAAAATTCTTATCACAAAATTCAATTATGTTCAAATTTACAAAAAAATCTTGATAAAATTCCAATTATTATCTTTATAAATAAAAAAATTTTTCAAAATTCAATTATTTTCGAAAATTTTAATAAAACTCTTCAAAATTGAATTATTTTTGAAAATTTTAGTAAAATTCTTCAAAATTAAATAACTTTTGAAAATTTTAATAAAATTGTTCAAAATTGAATAACTTTTGAAAATTTTAATAAAATTCTACAAAATTGAATTATTTTTGAAAATTGTAATACAATTCTTGTCAAAATTTCAATTATCTTTAAAAGTAATAAAATTCTTCTCCAAAATTCAATTATTTTCGAAAATTTTAATAAAATGCTTTGCAAAATTTTAATTATCTTTAGAAATAATAAAATTCTTGTCAAAATTTCAATTATCTTTTAAAATAATAAAATTCTTTTCCAAATTCAATTATTTTTTAAAATTATAAATAAAATTCTTGGCAAAAATTCAATTATCTTTAAAAATAATAAAATTCTTCTCCAAAATCAATTATTTTCAAATTTCTTTTTAAGTTTTTTATCAATAATTTAATTATTTTCATAAATAATAAAACTCATCGCAGAATTTTAATTATTTTTAATACAATTTTAATCTAATTTCTCGAAAAATTCAATTACTTTTAAAAATTTTATTGAAATCCGTCAAAAGAATTTTAATTAAATTTAAACAAATTTAAAAATTTGTTAATAAACTTCTTTAAATGAGAGTTCAATTTTTAAAAAAACATTCAATTCTTCAATAAATTATTTACTTTTGTATTTAAATAATTGAATTCTAATAGAATTTTCTAATAAAAATTGATTTAAAAATGTACACGGAGAGAGAATATATATATTAAATTTTGTAAAAATATTTTCAAATTTGGGAAATTTTTACAAAATTTAATATATATTCTCTCTCCGTGTATTTTAGTCAAAATTGTAAATAATTGAATATGAAAATAATTTTGAAGAAGTTACAATAACAATATTCTTATAATATATAATAATTATTTCATCTTTCGAACATCTTTAATTATTAAAAAAAATGAAGTTTTTGAATAATTTTTCAATTAAAGAAATTGGTAATAAAATGTAACAGAACATTTTTTCCTTTATTTTCTAAAAATTACAAAATTTTCATTCTCAATTAAAATTAGTAATTGACAAATATACTGCGTATAGGACATAAAAATCTATTATTAATATATTATATTAAAAGAAAAGGCTTAAAAAATATAAAACCCGAGAACCTCTCGGTTACGTTATAAGGTTTCTTGGCAATTTTTTTTTATTTGTTATTTTTTTTTCTCTTTAAAAGATCCAATCTTGTATATATAGACTATTTAGCTTTCTCTCTTTATTTACATAGAGAAAATTTTAATATTTCCTGATAACTGTTGTTGATTCAATGAATTTCGCGGGAATATTATTTCTCGGAATGAAAAACAAAAAAAAAAGAAAAGAAAAAATTGTCAAGAACCCGAGATTCTTACTGTTTATTTTTTTCCTCACTTGAAATGAAATTGATTTACAAAAAAAATTTCCATCAGGTGAGGAAATTTTTTTATTCATAAAATTAATTATTATTTTACTATTTTTTCTATTATTATTTTCTATTTCTTTTATTTTTTTCTATTTCTTTTATTTTTTTTATTCACTTTTCTTATTCTTTTATACTATTTTTTATATATTAATAAAATAAAAAATTATTATCTTCGTACAGAGAAAAATAAATTAACTAAGTTCCTGAATTTCTTTACATTTAAAAATTGTTGCTTTTCATTATTATTTATTATTAGAATGAATAATAAAGTATTATTTTTGTACACAAAAGAATTGCAAAAGCCCTTGCAATTTTTCATACGCAAAAAAAAATTTTACTATTCTTTTATTCCTTTTTTCATTGTCCATTTATTATTATCCTTTTTCTTGTTACTTATTACTATTTTCATTCATAAAAAAGGACTTTGCAATTTTATTTATTTTCTTATTTGCAAAGTACGAAAATGATGCGAAAATTTTTATTTTATTATTTGCAATTTTAAAAAAACTTTTATTTATAAAGGGAACAAACTTTTTAGACTTTATTATTATTGTTCTTACTTTTTATTAAATTATGATTTTCTAACAAAAAAAAAATTAATTAAGTCCCTGCAATTTTTTTTATAAATACGCAAAAAAAAGAAAAGTGGACAAACCATTTAGACTTTACTATTATTATTGTTTTTATTTTTTATTAAATTACTATTTTCTAACAGAAAAAAAAATAAATTAAGTCCCTGCAATTTTTTTTTAAAAATACGCAAAAAAGAAAAAAAAACGAAAGGAAAAAAAGAAGTACGCTCTCTATCTATTTACGCTCGATGAATTTTCATTTGATTGAGCGTTTCGCGCACGTCTGTTCCCACCCTTCAACTTAAAGCTTGTTTTCACCTCACTTTCTCTCGCCTCCTGTTTTGGGGGGTAGTTTTCGCCGGCATGACGACCCTCGCGTGCCACACACACTTTACATGCTCAGTTTTCACTCTATCGATAATCTCACCCGGCGTCGCGCCGATAGGATTAATCCGTTTCGTGCCGTTGACGAATCACAATCATCGTTCGCGACACTCTTTACTCTCACTATACATAATATAGTCGCAAACATTTTTTCGGGGGTTAGTTCACGTGATGACTTGGCGGGCCAACGTTCGACGCGTCCAACAAAATAATTCGCAACAAAAATTTGCCAATTTTACATTTTTTCAACAAATATTTTCATTTTCTTGTTGATTTTGTTTTTTTTTTCGTGTGTTATCGTCTCTCTCTCTCTCTCTTTCTCTTATATCTCTTCGCAGCATCCACATTCGAATTTTAAATTTCCCGTGCGTGTGGAGTTTTTTGTGCCTGTTTCGCGATTTTTTTTTGTTTAAAAGTCGAATTAAGTTATTTATTTAAAATTATGAAATTCTAGTCGTGGAATTTTTTTTTTTTGAAAGAGACTTGGGGAAAAAAGTGGAGAGAACTGTTTTGATAAATCATTGATAGTTGGAAAATGTGCTTCAACTGCTATTTGTTGTCAGCCCGGGAACTTTTAAACGTGATGTGAAAGTGTCTTCCAATGGGAAATTGGAATTGTTGTTAATTTCGGCAAGGTATCGTTTTCAAAATGACAATTTTTTATTAAAAATTATTTTTTACGCATTCTTCATTTGCAAAATTTCTTATTTCCTCGCTTTTATTAATGAAGCAAACGAATTTTTTTGCGATTTTATAAATGAAAACATTTTTCCACGATTTTCTTAAATACATTTTTTTTGCAATTTTCTACAAATTTACAATTGGAAAGAAACAATTTTTCTTCGATTTTACAAATGAAAACAATTTTTCTCCAATTTTATGAATGAAAAATAACAATTTTTTTACAATTTTAAAAAAGAACATAATTTTTCTAGAATTTTATGAATAAAAAATAATTTTTCTCCAAAACCATTTTTTTACTTTTCAAAGTTTAAAATATTCGACTGAACGAAATTAATTTATTTCTTCTTCAAATTGAACTTTTATTAGAATCATTTTGAGTCAAGTGTCAAAATTGTTTAATTATAAACTTTCGAAAAGTAAAATTTATGTTTTTAATTTTTATCACAATCAGTGATTTATCGAAATATTTTCAATAAAAATAGTAAATAATTTTATTTTATTAATTTTTTTGTAAATTTCGCGAATAAAAACAAATTTTCAACGATTTTGTAAATAAAAACAACGTTCCTACAACTTTAGAAATAAAAACAATTTTTACTTTCGAAAACTTTTGAATATTCAATTAAACGAAATAAATTTTTATTAGATTAATTTTGAGTCAAGTTTAAAATCAATTAACTTTAAAGTTTCTAAAGTGTGAAATTTATGTTTACAATTTTTTATTACAATCAGTAATTTACGGAAATATTTTTAGTAAAAAATATTTACTAAAAAATATTTAGTAAAAAATATTTCCTTCATTCGAACGTTCGAAACTTGTGGATCGTAAAAATAAAAACAATTTTTCTCCACTTTCATAAACAAAAAAAAAATAACTACAATTCTGCAAATAAAAACAATTTTTCTATAAAAAAAAAAATTTTCTCCAAATTTGTAAATAGAAATAATATTTTTTTGCCTTTGAAAATTAGTGGTCAGTGAACTTTTTATCAAAAGTAACACAAGTATCACAACTATCACAAGTTTCTATTATTAACTTCTAAATAAGTTTAATTTCAAATTAATTTTTTTTTTCTAGTCACATTTTTTATTGAAACATTCTTCATTTTTTTTTTCTTTCATATCAATAAAAGTGAGATTAAAAATAGACTATATATAAATATAATAAAATGTGTATAGAATTCATTTGGAGTAATAAATCTCACTCCAGGACATTTCTAAGAAAATACCATACTCCTAATCTCATTAATCGTAAATTAGAGACACTGTGTTTACACTAGCAATAGACCTTGACGGAGCGACCAAGCAGAGCAACCACTTGTGATTATTAAAACCAAGCAACGAAAGTTGAAGAAATTTAACCTTAACCTATCTCTTCGCCATGAATGAACAACTATAGTTTTGATTTAATTCAGTGCCTAATGGCTTTCCAGTCCAGATAAGAATTAAAGAAAAAAAAAAAAGGAAAAAATTCCACTGGCTCTCGTCAATTTAATTTAAAATTAAAAACCTGTTGAAATTATTTAATTTTTATATTTCAAATATTCTCGCACAATTATATCATGAAAAGTATGTGGAAAAAAAATGTGCAATAACTACTTTTTATTGACATTATTTATTATTCCAGATTTTTTTTTTATTTTACTTTTTTTTTTGAGAGACTTAAATAAAATATTGTTTTATCAGCATTTGATATCTGTGCCATAAAAGAATCAATATTCGATATTTTATTCAAGGTCTCTATCAGGATAAATTGAAAAATGCTTTACATATTATGAATTACTTTTTTAGATAAAAGACTCGCAAAAATTTCACCTGAAACTAAAATAACGTAATTTTTATTATATTTGCAAAAAAATTTTTATTGTTTTGCAATTTTTTTTTGCAACTCTTGTGTAGAGGAAATTAACATTCCCAAAATTGTTTAGAATTTTTTTTATTCCTTTCCGATTCGAATTTTATTTCAATTCGAATGTGAAAAAAATTCCCAACTATAAAGTAAATGATTAATTTGCAAATAATTTCCACTTCTGATAATTTAAAAAAAAATATCTAAATAGAAAAAAATTTAGCAAAAATGTAATAGACATTGGGAAGAATTTTTTTTCTCTCTCTCTCTCTTTCTCCTCCTTTTTGGTAAATTGCGATACTAGTTAGTTGATAATGAGCATTAAAACATTGATGATAAGGAAAAAAATTATCAATGTTGAATTAGACACGAAAAGTTTTTCGTGCGAATATCAGAACGGTTAAATTTAAGAGAATCAAGTCTGGTCTGTAAATTTGTTTTAAGATTTTTTTTTATCTTTTTGCCGAGATAGCACTATCAGCATACTTTAGAGCTTGCACTTTTATAAGCAACCAAGAAATTATTTAATCGTGCGTTCTGGCATGGCTCCAGTGTGACGACCTAATTTTTTTTTTTTCACAGATTGAAAGAAAAAAAAATGAGAGAGAGAGAGAGAGAAAAAGAGACAAAAAAGAAAAAAGCGCAGCTGAGTGCAGTTTTTAGCACAAGCTTTCTATAGAAATTCAACGGGTAAAACGCGCGCGTCTCCCCCTTATATATACAATAATAATAATTGTCTTCTAGTTTTTTCTGAACTGAGCTCGAAAATTTTTATCTCTCAAACTGAATTAAATTCACGATTAAGCAAAACACGTTAATTGGCGCAGCCAAAGTTCAAAACGTTATCTAAAAACAAAAAGAGAGAAAAAAAAACTTTCGCTAATGTCATTCTAATGTCAAAATTCTCTTTTTTTTCGTACTTTTAGTTTTCTGAAAAATATATTATTAGTTCTAGATTCACTTTTTTGTTAGCAATTTTTAGAAGAAGGAACTCCTTTTCTAAACTCTTCTTCTGAAATAAACTCTATTTTTAGTTTGCAAAGTAAAAAGTTCGTCTTAGAAAATTTAATTCTAGTTCCAGATTTATTTATTCATTATTATTCTCATTATTATTAATTTGTGACTCGAGTAATTTTTAGAAAAAATATTACAAAGTAAATTTCGATAAAAATGAATAAAATTCACTTTGGATTTTGTACAATTTTTTCCTTAAATAATAAAATTTTGGTATTAAAAATTTTTATTGACAGAATATTTTTTTTTATTTCCGAAGAGAATTTCTTTTGGAAAATTAGTAAAATTTACTTCTGACGTAGCAAAATTTTCTCAGGAAATAAAATTCTTTTATTAAGAAATTTTACTGACTTTGAAGTAAAGTTCAAGAAATTTTATAGAAAAATTAAGTTGTGGAAATAGTAAAATTTTACAGTAAAAAATTAAAAATCGTTAGTTCCAGAGTAAATTTTTATAACATTCGTAGTAAATTTGAATAAAAATTAGTAAAATATTCTCTTCAATTTAGTAAAATTTGTTCTGCAAATAAAATAATAACAAATTGTACTAAGTTCGTTAAAAATTACGAAAAAAAAAATTAAGTCAAATTTAATTTCAAAAATAGTAAAATTTGCTATTGAAAATTGTTATTTTCAAAAATAAATTTTACTATATCGAAAGTAAATTTCAGTAAAAATTAGTAAAATTGACTTCAGAATTATATTCCTTAAAGTTTTTAACTTTGAAATATATTTTTAACGATATTTTTTAATTACTTTTCTTAATTTAAATTTTATTAGAAAAATTATTCTGTATATTAAAAAAATAACTTTAAACTAAAATGTTATTTAATTATTATTTTAAATTACTGTGAAATAAAAAATTATTTCATAGTAATTTTAGAAAATAATAATTAAGGAAAAAATTCCCTTCATTTAAAAATTCAAAACTTTTTAAAAAATTCGGAATTGGTAAAATTTCCTTGAAAAAATAGTACAATTTAGATACACTATAAAAAATTACTATTTTCAAAAAAATTTTTAATTTTTTACTATTTCCGAAGAAAATTTTTTTATTAAAAATTAGAAAAATTTACTTCCGAAGTAGTGAAATTTCCTGAATAACTTTCACTAATTTCAAAGAAAATTTCCTTACAAAAATAAGAAAAAAAATTTACCTCAAAAGTAGTAAAATTAGTAGTTTAATTTTACCTAATTGTCGTTCTATTTTCTATAGTAATTTTTTAAATATTTAAACAGAAAAAAATGTTGTTCATTTATTTTTTCTTGAAATTAAATTTTGAAAATTATTAAAATTATTAAAATTATTAAAATATTGCAATAATTTTGTATAATTATGAAAAAATTATTATAAAGTTTCTAAATGTAAAATTTAGTAAATAAATAAATAAAATAATGTATACAAAATTTAGAGTAAAATTTAAGTTTCTAATTTTTATAACAATCAGTAGTTTACGAAAATAATTTTATTAAAAAATATTTCTTATTCATTTGAAAGTTTTAAATTTGTGGATAAATTTTTACTAATTCTAAGCAAAAGGTAAAAGTAGAAAATTTTTAGTAACTTTTTTTTTAGTAACTTTTTCTTAGTTCTAATTTGGTAAATTTAAAAATTAACACTTTCAGTTTTTTAACGTTTTACTGCATTTTTTATTGTAAAATTTAATAAAAACTATTTTGGTGAATATTTATTGAAATTTTAAAATAGAAAATTGAAAATAAAAATTGAAAATAGAAATTTAAAATTGAAATAGAAAAATTGAAAATAGAAATTTAAAATAGAAATTTAAAATTGAAATAGAAAAATTGAAAATAGAAATTTAAAATAAAAATTTAAAATTGAAATAGAAAAATTGAAAATAGAAATTTAAAATAAAAATTTAAAATAGAAATAGAAAAATTGAAATAGGAAAATTGCATAATAACTTTAAAAAAGAGGCAGGTCAGGTGATTCTAAAAGTAAAATCAGTGAACATCTTTAAGATGATTCGAATTTAGAAAGTACATATATGAAATTTCCTATCGTATACATAGGATCAATTTTTATCCTCTTTTTTTTTATCACGATCACAATCAATAACTAAAAAGTAATAAAAAGTGGTCATAAAACGAAAATTCTAAAAATATCATCACTTTAGAGTACAATACTGACGCATACCCTGAAACTTTGCAAGTGATATATTTCACAATAAGCTTTATCTCAATTTATCAGAGTCTTTGCACCAGCTTATCTGGATTTGTCACATGCCTAGAAAAGTTGCTCTAAGTTTCCGTTCTCCCCTTTCTTTTTTTAGTGTCTTTTGCAATTTGCAAAATTAACAACAACAATAACAACAGAAAACTACAAATGTTTACTTAACGAATAGTTTTTTCAACTTAGAATAAAGTAAGAAATCTTTTCGACTAATGTTTTTTGCAATTTTTATTATTTTTCCAATTTGCAAAATTAACAACAAAAAAACAACAAATTTTCGACTGAAAAAAAAAATGAAAAATCTTTTAGACTCAAAATATTTTTGCAGTTTGCAAAAATATTTTGAGTCCAAAAGATTTTTTCATTTTTTTTTTCAGTCGAAAATTTGTTGTTTTTTGTTGTTTTCAACTAATTTTCAATCTTTTCGACTAATATTTTTGCAAATTGCAAAATTAATAACAACAACAACAAAAATTACAAATGTAATTAAAGAATAATTATCAACTGAAAATAAACTAAAAAATCTTTTCAAACAAAAATAGTTAAAGAGAAGGTTTTTTTTACAATTTCTAGACAGAAATGGAATTAATGGCAAAGAATAGAGGAAAAAAAATGAGAATGCAATAATAGAAAGAATTCAATAAGAATTAATTAAGAATTAATTAAGAATTAATTAAGAATTAATTAAGAAATATCTAATAATTAACTAAAAATTGAGAATTGAGAATTTTTTTCAATACATTTTTTTCAATGAGAAATTTGTTTCTAATACAATATGAAAAAGAATGAATTTGATTAGAATGACTATAAAAATTAAATTTTTGAAAAGGAGTGAAAAAATTTTGATTAAATTTCAAAGTAAAAAGTGGATTAATAGAAAAAAAAATTTGAATTTCTGATTCCAGGTGAATAGACATAACGATGGTAGATACGCAACACTTTTGTCTGCGATGGAATAACTACCAGAGCAGCATTACGTCGGCATTTGAGAACTTGCGAGATGACGAGGATTTTGTGGACGTCACGTTGGCCTGCGATGGCAAAAGTCTCAAGGCACATCGCGTTGTTCTCTCAGCCTGCAGTCCTTACTTCCGAGAGCTACTTAAGGTGCATATTCAAATTACCTTCCTGATTTCAATCGCTTTTATTGCGCGCAATTTTTTTTTCTTTTCTCTTCAAAATAAATACTCTTCGCATGCACAACCTTGAACTTTCGGGATATTTCATTTTATTTATTTATTTACATTTCAAATATAAACTTTGTATTAGTGTTTTTCAATTAATTTTTATTATTCAATAATTTAAGAATAGTAATAATTAATTAATAATTACTTATTAAATAATAATTTTAACATTTAGTATTATTGTTAATAGTATTACTAGTTGATTCGAGTGAACAAATGTTTATTACTATTTATTTTAATTTCTTTCTTAATTCGAATTATAATAATATGCTTCTTAAAAAATAGTTCATAAACTTCCATAATTAATTTTTGATTTTTGATTCTTAATGCAAAAAGTAATTATTGAAAATAAATGTCAAGGGATAAAATGGTGGTTTGATTGCTCCACTTGAGAACGTCAAGGTCACCACCAGATGTCAGTGAAAATTCCAAGAAGGAAAACTGCCATCTAGCGGTGACCTTGGCGTTCGCAGGTGGGGAATAGCGTCTCCATATTGAATCTCAAAATGTTCGTAACTCATTAATTTATTATTTATAAAAACAGCTGCCAAACAGTTAAACAAGAAAAAAATACTTTTATATACTGAAAAAAGTGTCGAAAAGTTTCTAAAAAAAAAATTCGTGGCAAAATTTTTTTTCTTTTCAAAGACCAAACAACATTCATTTTAATTCTAATTCATATAATTAGCATTCATAGAATTATTTTAATACCGGCTTTTGTATTATTACTTAATGAATCAATAATGAAAGAATAAAAAAACAGATTTTTTCTTTTATTTAGAAATAGAACATTTATATATTTAATAAAGGTATTTAAATAATAAATAATGATCAGTAATAATAATCGGTGGAAGATATTAATGAAACGATGACTATATAGCTATGTATGTGAATAAACTTGTAGTGTGTTTGCACATTATTAAAAGCTAAAACTGACAAAACACTCTTGATTGCTGATACTAAGACGTTAAGTCTAGAACTGTCAGATGGACAAATATTTTAACTTATAGTTGGCTCAGCTGAATTTCTAACATAAATTGCAAGTGTTTAATTTGATTCATTGTATTGCAAATAATATATAGCTTTTTATTTTCGCTACTATCCCAAGTGCGTGAATAATTTTATATTATATGCTACTTGAACATCTGTCCATAAAATTTCCAAAATGATTTTATAATAGATTACATTGATATATGAATTCTAATTTATGATTATTAATCTACTGTAATCTATTTTGTAATTTTTTTATTTCACTATTGTCTATTTTTTGACATTATTCTCTTTATATTTGTTTCAAATAAATTTTATTTGGATCTCGATTTGGATCAAACAAATTTTATTTGGTTCAAGTAAAAATTTTTATTTTCGCTCCATAAAATTTTTTATTTAATACAAATAAATGATAACAATTGAAATAGTGAAGATTGTGCAAAAATAATTTCCAAAATTATTAAATAGAAAACGGAATCAAAAATGTATTATGTTCATAGTGAAGAAATAAAAGAAGAATTGAATAAATGAATGCACTCATTCTTTTAATATATACATATAAAAATAAAAATAACAAAAGCAGGAAAAGCTTTTTTCTCGCAGACACGTCGATATTGTGATTTATATTTTTATTGTGTCCTGATTTCTGCGGGTCTTGAAGAATACTTTTATCTTTCTGTTACAGAGCACACCGTGTAAACACCCGGTGATAGTACTACAAGATGTAGCATTCAGCGATTTGCATGCCTTGGTGGAATTTATCTACCACGGCGAAGTAAATGTACATCAACGCTCTCTTAGTAGCTTTCTTAAAACGGCCGAAGTCCTCAGGGTGTCAGGACTTACGCAACAGGCCGATCAAACCGACAGGGATGAGGTAAGAAATATTATCAATTTTTTTTTTTTTATCAAAACCTCTCTCTATGTTATTACACTTTTAAATTGCATCAGTTTTCTCCATTATTTACAAAAAATAAAAGGTAAAACAGGTGAAATAATATTTTATTCTCTAATATTAAGAGAGGAATGACAAATATTTTTGGCTAATTTTTCCTTTTTAGGTATTTATCGTAAAAAATGTTTGTTTCTTGAAAATTAGGGAAAGTTGCGGAATATTGATAATAACAGGGCTTGAACAAAGGAATGTATTTAAAAATACGGATTTTACGGACTAAAAATGAAAAATTACGGACCAATTATTAATACTGACAAAACAACCAGTCCGAGTAAAACAAGAGAAAATTTTACTTAAAACTTACTTACTTTACTTACTTACTTTTACTTTTTTATAAACTAAATTTTTCATAAATAAAAACTTCAAATAATTTCAAAAAAAAATCCAATTAAACTTTTTCAAAGCAATTAATCCATTTCAAAATTTAATTATTTCTACAAAATTCACGCTGTAATGGTTTCAATATTCATGTTGATAATAATAATAATAATAATAATATTTCAAATTGAATAAATAAATAAATATTCAATTACCTAAAATTTTAACCGATTTTCATTTTTAAATCAATTTTTGTTAGAAAATGCTACGAGAATTCAATTATTTAAATTAAAAAAGAAACAATTGAATAATTGAATGTTTCTTAAAATTGACTTTTTATGAAGAATTTTATTAACATTTTTAAACAATTGAATTCATTCGATAAATTTTAATAAAATTTTTAAGAATAATTATAGGTACATTTTTCGAGGAATTCAATTTAAAATGTAATAATTTTTAAAAAAATTAAAACTCTGCCATGAGTTTTATTATTTTTAAAAATAAATGAATTCCCAAAAAGAATTTTACTATATTACGAAAATAATTAACTATTTGCTTAGAATTTTATTGGATTTTTTTAAAATAAATAAATTTTTTTGCTAAGAATTTTAATAAAAATTTTGAAAATAATTGAATATTTTAACGAAAAAATCTACTGTTTTGAAAGATAATAATTGAAATTTTAACGAAGATTTTTTAAAAATTTATGAAAATAATTGAATTATTAAAAAGAATTTTAATATACGAAAATAATTGAATTCTTGCAAGAAGAATTTTATAAAAAATTTTAAATAATTGAATTCTTTTGATGAATTTTTATAAAATTTCTAAGAATAATTACAATAATTGGTAACTTTTCCAAAATTTACTTTTTGTTTCGTGTTTTTAACTAAACATCATCTATAAATCCATTATTTTTAATAATTTTTGAAAAAGTTTTTTAAGAATTTTTAAATTCATTTGTTTACAATTCAATTTTACAAAATTTCAATTATAATTTCATGTTTCTTAAAATTCAATTTTCATAAAGAATTTCATCTATAAATTTTTAAATAACTGAATTCTTTTGACGAATTTAAATAAAATTTTTAATAATTTTTTCGAGGAATTCGATTAAAATTGTATTAAAAATAAATGAAATTCTGCAATGAGTTTTATTATTTATGAAAATAATTGAATTCCTAAAAATAATTTTATTATTTACAAAAATAATTGAATCCTTATAAAAATTTCATTATTTATAAAAATAATTTTATTAAATAAATAAAAATTAATCTGACAAAATATTTAAAAAACGGACGTAAAATTATTTGAACAATAAGAATTATTATTATTATTATCATATACAGGTAGGCTTTCCAATAAGTTACAAAACTTTTTAGGCTGAATGCACTAAATTACTTTTCAATTGACAAAATAATGGATGTTGTAAAATATGAATTCCAAATTGTTTTTCAAACTATGCAATTTCACTCGCTTAATTCCGAGTATATTTACTAATTTTCATTTATTGAATAATGACATTGTGTTGAATTACGAAATCTATATTTTTTCAATAATCAGCAAATTATTTCTCATTCAATTGACTAATCTTTGCATTCAAAATAAATACTTGTTTGAAAATATCTTGATGAAAAGATCCAAATACTTCAATATTATTCTATACTTTTTTTCTCTAACTTTTTAAAAATTATTGTTAACTTTCTTTTACAATTTTCATAAATTTTTATTCAAATAAATTAATAAATAAAATAGTACCGAAGAATTAAAAAGGAAATTAAAACTATAAAAAATGGGGCACTAACTCTGCTGGGATCGAATTTAAATAAAATAGTAAATTTTGTTAAATGTTAATAAAATAATAAATATTATTAAATATTAAATAATAAATGTTATTAAATATCAAAATAATAAATTTTATGGAATATTAAATAATAGGTATATTTTATTAAGAATCAAAATAATATTGAAAATTTATGAAGAATATTATTATAATTAATAATAATTAATTAATAACACTGAAGTGTTAAAAAAAGACAACAAATAATCATCGCTCCTCACTTTTTTTTATATAAAAATCTGATAAAGTTTCTATAGGAAAATTGTCTTAAATAATCAGTAGAAAACAAGGTAATTTTTGGAATTATTTATAATGGCAATTATCAAGCTCGCGAGTGTTATCAGTAGGTTTACTAAATTGTTTTTTCTTATCTCTACTTTGTTCTATCTTGATCCCCTCCGTGATTGACATAGGTCATGCAAATAAAGATAATGCACGTCGCCAATATTAGACCTTGAAAAAAAAAAAATTTTTTTTCTTTTTACTCCATCACGAGAATAAAAATATTAATAATTTGGACTTGAATAATTTTTGTTAAAGGTAACTATATGTATAGATATAAATTTAATCGTTGAGCGAATTTTCCAATTCCCTTCTGCTCTTTTTCGATTTGTATTTATTTTATTTACATTTCAAAAAAGAAACAACATAAATATTTACTGTTGACCTATATTTTATTTTTAGAACACGATTCCTCTCTTGTGTGAAATTCATGACACTAGTTGGATATCATTTTAAAATAATGGCAGGTGACATGCAAAACAAAGAATCTTGTGTTGATAACCCGAATTTTTCTTTAGTCAAGAATTGGAAGAAAATTTATTTCTTTCCGGATAAAGGAGAACTGAATTTTGAAATAAAAAATAAAATAGCAATTCAGTGTCATAAAATAATCGTAATAGTAGCAAATTTATTTTTTGATTTTTAATGCAAAAACTAATTATTGAAAATAAATGTCAAGGGAGAAAATGGTGGTTCAATTTCTCCACTTGAGAACGTCAAGGTCACCACCAGATGGCAGTGAAAATTCCAAGAAGGAAAACTGCCATCTAGCGGTGACCTTGGCGTTCGCAGGTGGAGAACAGCGTCTCCATATTGAATCACAAGATTTTCGTCAATATTCCTAATTCTACAATTATTTATAATGAATTTTTTTTGTTTTTTTGACATATTCAGCTCTCGCATGTTCGTGCGCTGGCTGCCGGTGGCAATCACATACCTCCGCATGAAAAATCGTCCTACGAAGGTGGTTTCCCTCGAGCGGGCTCGCCATCAACTCCAGTAACCCCAACACCAACAACAGTACAACAATTGCTGCGCAGGGCGCAGATACGTAGAAACGAAAGGCATACCCCAGACCCACACGAAGACAGTGTAAAGAGACCCAGGATATTATCGCCTCCACTTAATAACAATGATGCAACGCCCACGGATTTTTCAATGGTGAAAAATCATTTGTCGAATAAAATTGAGGGAAATGGCATTCACGAGGAGAATAGTCCTGTTGAAGATTCGATAAAATGTGAACCTCTCGAATTAACTGGAGGTAATGGTGGCAATGGTCCCAATAATGAGGATTCCTCGGATTCTGGAGCGGCAGCGTCGGATCGACCACCTGCATCGGCGAGTAGTAACGAACATGAAACTGAACCTGAACATCCCCCAACGCCAAATTTTATCCCCGAGAGTAAACTATTTACCTCAACGCCAGGGAGCTTCAATTTTAGTATGGCAGCACTCACCACAGACCATTCACCATTATCAGGTATGCTCCAACTGATAATTTATCAACAAATCTGACCTGTACGCATAGAACAATTTTTTTTCACTCATTTTCATTTATTGTTTTCTTGTCTCTGCTACTTTTTACTAGAAAAGGACATAATTTTTCTTTTTTTCTTTTTGCTTAATGTGTAATGTTTTAGGCATATTTTATGTGCTTGTTCATATTTATTTCATTCATTTGTAGTTTAATATTTAATTTGTACTTTAATATTATACTCTAAATTTTTGTTGTCTTTTTTGTTTAACTCATAAACTATAAAATTATCACGAATTCTAAAACAAAACATTCAATTTTTTTAATTTCTAAAAAATTTCTTTTTATAACTTACATCTTGAACAACTATCATAAAATAAATAAATTATTTAATGAATCATTTTACTTAAATATTTCAAAATTAATTCAATTTTAAAAGAGTTGCGTTTACAATTTTCATAAATACCTAAATCAACTTCAAACGGTTTCAATTTGAAATTTTATAAAATTTAAATACTAAATAAATTTAATTAGAAATTTTAATGAACTCAGATTTTTGAAAAATTTTAATATTTCAAAATCTTCTAAAATTAGTTAAATTTGTCAATATGTATTTAATTAATTATTAAATATAATGGATTTATAGAAGAATTTTAGTTACAAATATTAAAAGAATTGAATTTTGAAGAAGTTACAAATAATTACAGAAATTCAATTATTTTCAAAACTAATAAAATTCTTATCACAAAATTCAATTATGTTCAAAATTTACAAAAAAATCTTGACAAAATTCTAATTATTATCTTTATAAATTAAAAAATTCTTCTTCAAAATTCAATTATTTTCAAAAATTTTAATCAAATTCTTAGCAAAATTTCAATTATCTTTAAAAATAACAAAATTCTTTTCCAAAATTCAATTATTTTCAAAAATTTTAATGAAATTGTTGTCAAAATTTCAATTATCTTTAAAAAGAATAAAATTCTTCTCCAAAAATCAATTATTTTCAAAAATTTTAATAAAATTCTTGGCAAAATTTCAATTATCTTTAAAAATAATAAATTTCTTCTCCAAAATTCAATTATTTTCAAAAATTTTTATAAATTGCTTGGCAAAATTTCAATTATGTTTGAAAATAATAAAATTCTTTTCCAAAATTTAATTATTTTCGAAAATTTTAATGTAATTCTTGGCAAAATTTCAATTATATTTAAATATAATAAAATTTTTCTTCAAAAGCAATTTATTTTATAGAATTTTTATAAAATTCTTATTCTTGTCAAAATTTCAATTTTATTTAAATATAATAAAATTCTTCTCCAAAAGCAAATTATTTTCGAAAAGTTAAATAAAATTCAAACATTCAATTATTTTCATAAATAATAAAATTTTCAAAGGAATTCAATTATTTACAATTTTTATTATAAGTTTTTTCTAAATAATTCAATTATTTTCAGAAATAATAAAACTCATCGCAGAATTTCAATTATTTTTAATACAATTTCAATCTAATTCCTTGAAAAATGTAACTATTCTTTAAAATTTTATTAAAATTAAAATAATTAAAATAATTGAATTCTTGTAAAGAATTTTTATTAAAATTTTTTCATGGAATTCTATTACAATAATTGTATTCAATACATGGATTTTTCAAAAAAACTTTATTAAAATTTTTAAAAACAATTGACTATTTTAGGAGAATTGTAAAAAGATTGTTTCAAATAATTAATTTCTTTCAAAAAAAATTGACGTAATTTGTTTTTTATTTATTTAAATAATTTAATTTTTGGTGGTGCTAATTTTTATAAAAAAAGAAAAAAGCGTTTAGTGTCACAAATCTAAAAAAATATCCAAATAGTAGCCAAACATAAAAGAAGTAGTAAAAATTTATTTTAAAAAATTGAATTTGGAAAAAATTTAAATTGAAAACTCGAAAACGATTGAATTAAGAAAAAAAATGTAATAAAAAAATAACTGCTAAGTTAAACGAAAATATTGAATAAGAAATTATGTAAGATTTTCGCGAATAGATTTCTTAAAATTTTTATGATCTCATGATTTAACTCTCGACTTTAAAAAATTACTAGATCATCTCATCGATTTTTTAAAATTCGCACCAGGCGCATTAAAATAGAAAGTTAAATTTAACAGCAAAAGTTTCAATTTTATTCTATTTCAATTTTTAGAAAATTTTTTTTTGTGGACTTAAAATCAGTTTATTTTTAAAAAAATTGTAATTAGTAATTGCTATTAAATTGTAATTGTTATTACAATAAGGTAAAAAAATTTTGTAAAATAAAGATATTTGACTAATTATGTTCTTTTTAGTTAAATTTAGCATATTTTTAATTTCATTCTGTGTACTGTTTGCTTATTGCCAGAAAAAAAATTTTTTTAAAGCATGCAAAATATTTGTTTTCACATAGAATTGCGAAATTGCGTACAGGTCTTTTGAGAATTTCTAAAACGAGAGCTTAATTTCTATTCGTAACAGTAGTAAAATTTCCAGGTTTGGGTCACGGGTTACAAACACCGGACTTGGCGGGCACTTCGCAAGGTAAGAAAAGAAAATTTTTGTTTTTCAATTTTTTCTAAACTTTTATGTTCCCCTAAAATCACAAGAATTTCAGAATCATTTTTTACCCCCAATTTAAGAAATAAACGAGTTTTATAATGTTTCAAAAATCGTGATGCAAAAAAATTTTTTGATTCCCCATTCTTGTTGATTTCAGTGGTTACTTAATACCTGCTATTTTATTTTAATTATATTCCATTCGAGTCCAAAAAACATTGTCGAAAAAAATATATAATTTATTTATATATTTTATCTTCAATGTTGACCGATTCGATGAGAAAACAATCACTATGACTTGTGCAGTTATATCAAACTAACAATATCACAAATTATCAAAATTACAAAATTTATATTATTATTATTATTATTGGTTGCGGTGAAAAATCATTTACTCTTTCTTTCTGCTTGGAAGATTTAAATTTCTTCTAATTGGCATGCATTACCAAATCATCAAAAATCATCATTTTCTATACTTTCAAAAAAAAAAAAAAAAAAATACTATTTCGCATTTGCATTTCATAAAATCATTTTTTTGTGAGAATCTATAGCTCTGGGCAAAAAAGGGAACTTTTTCTAAATTTTTCATATTTATCTGAGTTTAAAGAGAGAAAAAAATTTGTAACGATAAATTTTGTCTACTTTTATCAAATTTAGTGAAAAATATTAAATTTTAGAATAAAAAATTGAACAAAAATTGTAGAAGTAAAAAAATGAATAAAAAATGAGTAAAAAATGAATAAGAAATTTATAAAAAAAATTTATAAAAGAAAAATTAGCAAATTTAAAAAAAAATTTTTTTTTGGAAAATTAAAAACAAAAATCCCTGCTCATGAGCTTATAGATCCACTCTAATTGGCGAAGAACAAGAAAGAGAGAAACGTCAGTTTGAAATCACTGTACAAACTAAGTCCACTGCAGATAATACAACACAATAAAATATAAGTAAATTGATATAATATTTATGATGGTCACAAAAAATGGGCATATAAAAATCTGCAGCGATTAGCGTAATCTAAATGGCCTTAATTATTATTAAATTCATATTTATTTGCAACAATTTTTTTTCATATTAATACATCCAGAGAAATATTTTATTTAAACCAAAAATATTTTTATGTAACCACATATAATTTTTATTTGTTTCAATCATAAAAATTTTGTTTGGTGCAATTAAATTTTTTTTGAGCGGAAATTCAATTTTCATTTAAAGAATTTTTAAAAATTTGAATGAAAATTTTCAAATTTTTAAAAATCAGAAATTTATTTGAACCGAATGGAAAATTATTTGAATTAAATGGAATATTATTTGAACCAAATGGAAATTTATTGGAAGTAAATAGAAAATTGAAAAAGCAAAGAGAAATTTAATTAAACCAAATAAAAAATGTTTAAAACGTATAGAAATATATTTGAAACAAATAGAAATTTATTAAAAGCAAATAGGAATTTATTTGAATCAAAAATTATTTATTTGAACCAGGTCTGATTTTTGAACCTATTAGAATTTATGTGAACCAAATAAAAATTTAATCAAAGCGAATGAAAATTAATTTAAACTAAATGAAACTTACTTAAAAGAAATATTTTTATTGATACCAAATAGAAATTTATTTGAATCAAATAGAAATTTATTTGAATCAAATAAAAATTTATTTAAAACAAATAGAAATTAATTTAAACCAAATGAAATTTACTTAAAGGAAATATTTTTTATTCGAACCAAATAGAAATGGATTTTAAAATATTTCAAGCAAATAAAATTTATTTGAACCAAATGAAAATATATTTCAACCAAATAAAATTAATTCGAACCAAATAAAAATATATTTCAACTAAATATAATTTATTTGAACGAGGTTTGATTTGAACAAAATACAAATTTATTTAAACGAAATAATATTTATTTGAAGCAAATAGAAATTTATTTGAACGAAATTAAAATTATTTACACCAATCTTGACTTGAACCAAATAAAAATTAATTTCAGCAAAATAGAAATTTATTTGAACCAAATGGAAATATATTTGGACCACACAAAACTTATTTGAACCAAATAAAAATAAATTTGAACAAAAAAATATATTTGAATCAAATAAAATTGATTTGAGCCAAATAAAGTTTTTTTGCAATAAATAAATTCTATTTAAACCAAATAAAATTTTTTTCCAATAAATAAATCTATCTATTAAATAAATTTTCATTTGAACCAAATAAATATTATTTGTATATGAATTTATATTAGAACCAAATAAAAGTTGTCTTATATCTAATTCATTTCTATTTGAATTGAATAAAATTTATTTGCAAGAAGTAAATTTCTATTAAAAATATTTAAATTATTAAATTTATTTATTTAAATCAAATGGAATTTAATTTTTATCCAAATAATATTTATTTTTAATTTAATAAAATGATTTGTAAAAAATAAATTTCTAATTAATTTCTACTTAATTCAAATAATAATTTACTTGATTCAAATATAATTTACGTGAACCAAAAAAAAATGTATTCATAATCTATTTCTCTGGATGTATGTCTTATTGAGACTCACGTGAATAATTAAACTCATTTGAAAAATTTCGTCATTTCAACATTGATCAACAATTTGCTTACAAGATAAAATAAAATGAAATTTATCAAATAATTTACAAAGAAATAAAATTACATACCAACATTGTATGCCGTGCTCGTGCTGTCCAATTTTTTCGCATAATTTTTTTTTTTTTTTTTGTTGTTGTCGTATTTCCCACTATATAGTGTTGTTCGGCAATTCCTCCTGCAATAAAAAAATAACCCATTTTGTTATTTATTACATGAATCACTGGAATTTTATATAGTTTTAATTTATATTTATCTTACTATTTGTCTGGAATTAATATTGTCTAAGAAAATAAAATTGGGATTATTAATTTTTATAATACTAGCATCGAAAAAAAATAAAAAATAGTACAAAAAGTGAAATTGTATAATTAAAAAAAAAGAGGATGTGATAGTCTCTAGTTATCACCTTTTATTGGTTTATTGTTATTTGACCCGCATAACAATAATAATGCATTATCGCGGATTATAAAAAAAAGACACCATTCCCGGCAACCGGAACATGATCTTTTTACTTTAAATCCACGCGTTGAGTGTCAATTTCGCACTTTGCGATAAGACACAGACAATTTCCGTTTTTACTTTTATTTAAATACACATAATCTTTTGGTTATTTTACTATGTTGAAGAAAAAAGAATTAAAATTCTTGTATTTGCAAAAATTTTCAAATTATTTATTTTTATGACTCAATTTTTTTTTTAACTTATGTTAACTTTTGTTTATTCTGACGTTTAGTTATCAGATTTTTAAAAAAAAAAGTCCAAGGATATTTATTAAACTGGATTTTTTTTCCTGTCATTATTCTTAAAATAAACTTGTCACCGAATCACGGGCTCATAAAATTTTTGCTCAAATAAGGTCACAAAATCTTATAGTTGCGATTTGGAAATTTTTTTCCTTACTTTTTTTACTCTGATTTTCGAAAAGTAGATTCAGAAGATATTTAAATTTAAAAAATTTCTCTTACAGTTTTGAACGTTATAAACGACGATTTTTTTTCTCCTTTTTCTAATTTGTTTTCATATTTTTTCATAAAATTTATTTTCACAACAAAAATTTTTGGGTATTAAAAAATTAATTACCAACTTAGTAAATGTTTAATTTTTTTCTGTTTAAATATTTTCGAAAATTACTCTACAGAAAAAAAATAATTCTAACCAAACATTTATTTATTCAATACATTTTTTTAATATTTTTCTCTTCAAATATATTTTTTTAAATTGCATTGAAAAAAATTTCGTTCAATTTCAACGTTCAAGACTTTTTTAGTCAACAATAAAAAAAAATAGTAATGATACGAATCGGATTTAATATATTCATAAAAGTGAAATATTAACAAGAAATAATTAGAGTAGATTTTTTTATTATGTCGAGAGAAAAAATTCTTTTAAACACTCGGGGTATCTAATGGATAACCTTTTGTTTGTGGCTTTATATTGGATTAAAGAGAGAAGAAAAAAACTAAATTCAAGATTTCGCACATATGTCATTTCTATGCAAAAATAGAATTAGTAATCTTTTTCAAGTATTTGAAAAAAAAATTCTATTCAGAGAATAAAAAGTTTCCTCCTTTGATAAATTAAAGAAGGAAAAAAAATTACAAAATACAGTTTGCGCTAAACTTTTTTTTTTATTTGATTAGAATCAAAATCTAAAGTACTTGATTAAACCGGAAAAAAAGTTTGCCATTTTATTTTTTTGGTAACATTTTTTTTCGCATTGATAATTAAAAACTTGAACTAAAAATTATCTTGAAATTTATAATTTCTTGAATTTAATAAAATTTCGAATATTTTTCAAATCTCGAATTTAATAAAATCTCGAATCTCGAATCTCGAATTTTTGTAAAATCTTTTATAAAATTCCTTATTTTTAGAATAAAACGAATAAACAAATAAATCTGTAATTTTTTTTCTAAACCATAATAATATTGAGTAATATATATAAAGCATATTTAAAAATGAGCCCCCCCCACCATCTTGATAAAAATGTCTAGAAGAAATAAATTCTTTGTCTGCAAATCGAGACGTTGTGTAAATTCAGGTGCGAGCATTTTCGATTAATATATTTGAACGCCTGGTTTATGCTAGGTTAGTACGGAAAAAGTTATCGGAGGGGCCATTTGATAAGGCAACAGATGTTATCCGTGAATTTCTTCAAGGTCCTTCTATCTACTCAATTCAGACGTGGCCAGCTAAACATTGGCCTAACTAAAAATAAAATACAATAACCTTGGTACGCCACTCACGTTCCTTGCATCGTACTGTGAATTATTAGGCACATTAAAATCGTGTGTCGCCCGTCGACAAAAACTTTACTCGCATATCATTCGCATTGCCCTTTGACCTAGAGCGAGGATTTCAAATCAGAAAAAGAAATTTTT